GTTTTACATTCCATAATATAGTTATCTATAGTCACCAATAGTCATTTTCCTCAATTGTAGGCATAAAGTTGAATCCCACTTCACCGCCTTCTTTTGTATGTTCATACATAGTACAACAAATTGTAGTATACTATGGTTTACTATGTTGTACTATTTCGAATCCTAACAGTCATAACTCCTCAGCCGCCGCAAAACCCTAACAACTAATAATTTTCAGCATAGTCATATCCTAGCAGGTACAACTCTCAGCCGCTGCCGAACACTAGCTGCCCACCAAACCGTAGTGCCATCAAAGAACCCTATTGATACGATCCAGCAAATTATGCGAGGTAGTGCTGCCGAGCTGGATGAAGGAGTTGATGACTTGGACGAGCTGCATGTGCCAAGAGAACCGATTACGCGAGCTCGGGCCAAGCACATTGAAGCAGCCATGATTAACTTAGTAGTAAACGAGCTCTAAAAGGAAGAATTGACGAAGTCTAGTTCGATCCCAGTTGAGCTTAATTGGAGCGAATTATCGGGCCAGATTATGAAGCAAGCCGAACTCAAGGACTTGAGCCCCTCTAGTCATCCAACCCAGAAGACATGACTTGAAAAAGATGATTATTATTAATTTTCGTATTTTATTATTGAACAATTTATTTCTTACTATTTAAAGTCCGATTTGGACTAAATTTAGTTTATTTCGTTATATCCTTATAATAGATAAGTTAGGAGTTATTTTCCTTGTTAGATTAGATCTCCTTGACACTTATAAATAAGTTGTTTTAGGGTCATTAATTTTTGGATTTTTTTTAAGTATTAATTTGAGAGATTAAAATTCTCCTTTGTTGTTCTTCAATAACTCTTCGGGATATTTTGCGAGTGCATTCTTGTGAACTATTCTTAGCGATATAGTATTGGTTTCTGATTCATAATAATCACAGGGTAAATACTTTCACCTTGTAATATTGGTTTGTAGCTCTCTATAGCTACCGGGTCAATATTCCGAATTCCGCCAATTGAATCCTTTCTTTGGACGTTCCGTTCTTGCTTCCCCGTAAGATATTTGGGTCTCGTAACAAGTTTTACGAGGTTCTTATCACCTATGTTGATGAAGCGGTCTCCCATTGTCAATCTGACATCACATCTCCAATGGTCAAACCCCCCCCCCCCCCCCCCCCCCCCCACCATAACCCGACCACCACAGCCATAGCCGTTGCCATCAACAAAGTCGGCAACACTGTTGTTTCTATAACCTCACTCGTCTCCACCATCGCTTCTATGACTCAATGCAATGGGGTCGTCGGCGTCGCAGAACGACAATCATTCGATTATATATGGAGAGAGAGAGAGTATAGATCTGATGAAGAAATATGGGGTATAGAGGTTATGGGTCTAGAGACATGGCAAATTATGAATTAAAAAATATAGTTTCAAAGTGCAAACTACGGTTGTATACCACCCCTAATTAGATTTAGTTTAAGGGACTCCTAACATATTAATACTAAAAGTTATGTTACTAAATAAGAGCTGAGTTGGATAATAAAGTGGAGAAGTGAGTAGAAGAAAACAAAATATATAAGAAATTAGTATTTTTAAAACATCAAAATAGTAGAATAATAAAAAACCAAAACATAAAAAATTATGTTGAACCAGTTCGACCCCATCAAATCGTTACCGGTGAGCAAAAAAACTAAGAAACCGAACTGGAAAACCGAGTCGTTTCAAACGTACCGAATAGCAAACCGTATGTATGTTTATTTTATTTTTGAAATACCGATTATTCGGTTCGGTATGGTGAAAAGGGTATTGAACCAAACCGAACCAAAACTATAAAATTACTTCATTTTATGTAATATATGTATTATTTTATCTTAATTTTTACATTCTATCTTTCAATTACTTGTCTCATTCTAAGCAATTTGTTCATAAATTGAGACATTGTAATTTATTTATGGGCAATTTACGGCCCTTGAGTTATGGTCAAATTATGAACCCCCTCCTGTTTGGGTAATTACAGCCACCCCCCTCAACTACGTATTACTTTTTTTATCTTACGAGAATACCCCTCCAGAGGTAAGTGTAGGGATGTTAAATCGGTTAAACCGAACCGAAATTTCGGTACGCCAGTAATTCATACCGTTTACCGAACTGAATATACGATTTGGTTCGGTAACTAACCGAATTACATAAATTTTATGTAAAAATATTTAAAAGGAGGGGGTGGCTGTAATTACCCAAACAATAGGGTTTTTTTCGTAATGTGAGCATACCTCAAGGGGTGGCCGTAATTTGCCCTTTATTTATTTAATAACTAAAATTTTACTTGAGTTCATGGTTTTAATAGGCGGCGACTATATGCAATCTCACAAATTACTTAGGGGAAGACGGAAATCTAATTTTTCACCAAATGAATTACTAAAAGACTATTATACCCTTATTAAGATACAAAATCCACAATTACAAAACTCCAAAACTTTCTTTGTACAAAACCACACCAACAAAATCCACTTTATTTTCTCACAAACCCATTTCACACAAATTCTTCAAAAAAAAATTCATCTTCTCCAAAAATCCTCAACACCCAAAACCCTCAAATCTTACTAAAACACACAAATGATACCATTATGGAGTCACGAGACATGAATATGGAGAATTCTATAGCAAAAGTAGAAAACAAACTATGAATGAATGTATTTTTATAGCTAGGTGATTGATTTTTTAAGGTTTCAAAAAGAAAAATTGCGCAGTCAAAATTCGACACAAACATGTCGATTTTTGTCACAAAAATCTAGAATTTTCACCAAAAAATCAACATGTACAGGTCGAATTCTTCTTTTTCTTCCTTTTCTTCTTGTTCTTCATCGTCTTCTTCTTCTTCCTTTTGTTCTTCTTCTTCCTCTTCCTCATCTTCCTCTCTTCTTCTTCTTCTTCTCCATGCTCCTCTTCTTCTCCTCCTCCTACTTCTCCTCCTTCCTCTTTCTTCCTCCATCTCATTCTTCTCTTCCTCTTCAAGTAGCGGCGTTTGCACGAAGGTTGGGTGACAATGATATGATGACGACGTTCAAGCGGTTGTGGTGCGCTTCATCGGCGGCGGCGCGTGGTGGTTCTTCAGCGGTGGATGGGCGTCGGCAGTTCTTCTCCCCTTGTGTTCTTCTCTTCTCCCCGCTAGAGCATTCTCTCTCGCTTTTCAATTTTTCTCTATCTTTTTTTATTCTTTTTGGCCTTGCAATAGTAATTAGGTCTAACTTGAATGAATAATATCAAAATCAATATGAGGGTGATATTCGCAATTTTTAGTCTTACTCTTATTAATAAGTTTATTTATATTATTTATGGTCTTCCAACAAGTAAGGTCTTGACCATAGAAGATTTACGATTGCAAATATTGGTTGACTTTTAATAATGTGGTTGACAAAAGTAGGAAGAAAAATGAAGCATAATATATCATATAAATTACGTTAAGTCCTATGAGATTAAAGATTTTATATTTTCACTGCATTCAGTTGTGAAAGTAATTGTAATTGGATTCTTTTGTTTGTATAACTTGAATATATAGTTACTCTTGTAACAGAAACTGAACCGAAAGAAATCGAACCGATGAATAACCGACATATATAGTTTTTAATTTTACAATAACCGATATATTCGGTTCATGCATGTTTGGTTTTAGTTAAAAACGAATGGAATCGAGCCGTGCACACCCGTACAGACTGTGACTCAAATGGCCGTCCGATTCCATGGCCGGTCCGATTCCCACAGGGTTGCCAAATTATTAACAACCCTGATTTATTTTAAGGTGTAATGGCAAATAGGCCCAAGACAATGGCACTTAATTAAATGAGGGACATCCAATTTTTTTGTCTTTCAAATAAATCCAACTCATTCAAACTTATTTGCAAATAAGGAAAATCCTTTCATATATACCAAAATTACCCCCAATTCATTGAAACCCAATTCAACTCTAATTTTATGATTTACACCACAATTTAGCCCAATTTCATCAATTAACCAATTTTAACCATAATTTCAATTTTGACCCCAATTTTAACCCTAATTCTTATCAATTTCACCAATTATGCTCTAACTTCCTTAATATTACACATTGACCCCGGATTTAAACAAATATATCACATTAACCCCCCAAATTTTTTTTTTCAGAAAATATTTTTTTTTTCTGAAATGTTTTTTTTTCCGGCCAGATTCCGGCGTTGACTTTTTTTTTTTTTTTTTTTTTTTTTTTTTTTTATAATTTTGTTTTTTCTTAATTTTTTTTTAATTAATATTACTGTCTTGGCTGCTAAATTACTGTCTCCGGCAGTTATTTAACTGCCGGAGACAGTAATTTAGCTGTTAATTGACTTTTTTTTTTCTTCAAAAATATTTTAATTAATATTATTGTATCTTGCTAAATTACTGTCTCCAGCAGTTATTTAACTGTTGGAGACAGTGATTTCACTGTTAATTGACTTTTTTATTCTTAAAAAAAATATTTTTAATTAATATTACTGTATTCGTTTGCTAAATTACTGTCTCCAGCAGTAATTTAACTGTCGGAGACAGTAATTTAACTGTTAATTGACTTTTTTTTCATTTTTTTTCTTAAAAAAATATTTTAATTAATAGTACTGCATTAGATGCTAAATTACTGTTGAAAAAAAAAATTTCAAAAAAAAAAAGGTCAACGCTGGAGAGCGGCGGTCTCCGGCGGTCATGCCGGAAATCTGGCCGGAATCTGAATATTTCAGAAAAAAAAATTATTTTCTGAAAAAAAAAAAGTTTTGGGGGTTAATGTGATATATTTGTTTAAATATGGGGTCAATGTGTAATATTAAGGAAGTTAGAGCATAATGGGTGGAATTGATAAGAATTATATTGTTGAGGGTAGTTTAGACTAAAGACATGGGGATGGGCTTAATTGAGAAACTGTTTTTTTTGTGGATCAAAATGCATTTAAGTCCCATGTGATGGACTATTTTTGTTATTCGCCCTTATTTTAAATATTTTCTCGCAAAATATTTTTTTCCCAACATAAAATGGACTTTTGGTCTCAAAAGAGAAACAAACAGAGGAAAGACTAATTCGAATTGAAACGATCGCCACTCCGCGCCACACTTTGCACCCAATCTGTCTGTTCCCAATTGATTGTTGATTCATCGGTTAGCCCTAATTTGTGAAACGCCACTGGACAAATTCGGTAAATTCTAATTACTTTCTCATTCTTATTCTAATTTTTCACTGAATAATTGCTAAACCGATGATTTTTTTTTTCTCTAGCAAATACTATCTTGATTAAGCTGTTCTCTTTTGTTAATTACCGAACAAATTGAAATTTTATCTTGATTTTGGTGTTCTGTTTGTTTTCCCCAATTTCCTGCTCTGCCTGCACACGCAGAAACCCTAGAAATAGTCCAGCCAATCGAGCAACCAAAAAAGGATGGCAATTGCTAGAACAGGGGTTTTTGTAGATGACTATTTGGAGCGTGAGTTCACTTTGTAATCTTACATATAACTAAAAATATTAGGTGATATATTTTTTTTTAATTATCTGTAAAATTTATTGTGCTTTGTAATGTATAATAAAAGATTCGAGCACACTGCCCGCGGAGCTTCAAAGGCTTCTAAACACCGTTCGAGAACTAGACGAACGCTCCCAAGGTTTTCCCTTTTCCCTCTTTTCTTACCGTTGCATAAATTTAGGGTTCTATTGTCTGATATTATTATATATACTTCTGTCTGAATTTTAACTAGTTTTGTCTATGTGTAAATGTTGACATAAATAAAGCAATGATGAATCAGACGAGGCAGCAAACAAAGTACTGCCTAGGTTTGGCATCTCAGGGGGGCCCGTTTGGTCGAAAGCATGACGAAGAAGACGAGCTTTTTGAGAAGCTTCGAAAGGAGATTGAGGTAAACCAAGACAATGCACTCAACCTCTGTACAGAGAAGGTTCTACTTGCCCGACAAGCTCATGACCTTGTAAGCCTCAATCACTTTGATATTCTTTATGTTGGTCGTTAAATGTTATTCTTTATATTTTTCGTTTGTTCTACGTCAAAATTTTCTATTACATTTTTGTTCATTTGCTCTATTTTCTTAAGCTACGTGTATATTGAAGTTTCTGTTGATTTGAAAATAGGATTTTATTTACTTGTTTCTCTTAAGCCACATTTTTGATATATTAATTAGTGTTACTTATTTGAAATGTAAAACATGATTACAAGAAGTAAGTATCGTGGTGCATTTTTGGGTTGACAATTTGTCTGTAGTGATGTTGTATGACCTGGCATTTACGATACCTCGTAAAATTAAATGTGTAAGTTTTAGTTGTCATTCGCCTTCTTGCAGTAGTTAGCATCTGTTAAGTAAACATATTTGTTAAGTGTTTTTCTTCCTTTTACTCAATTTTATGGTTCTTGGATTTTTCATAATATCTTCTGGTATTTGAACGAATATTCTTTCTCTTGCTAATTTGTTTTCTTCTCTTGGATCAATGGAATTGTGGTTGAACGGGGCGCGAGTGATTGTAAATCTGTTATGTATTGTACAACATTTTTGTAACTAGCACCACTTATTTGTTAATTTAGCTACTTGATTAACACGTTATTCGCATTATTTCTCGTTTTATCCTTACACTCCGTGATAATTTGCTTTCTTTGCCACGTTCCTTCAGATTGACAGTCACATGAAACGACTTGACGAGGATCTGAATAACTTCATGGATGATCTCAAACAAGGTGCACACACTTCTTGGTGTTTTTCGTTTAGATTTCTACAGTAGCGTATGAAAAATAGCAAGTTCGATAAGCAGTTCTGCTATTTTTACTTGGCAAATATATATCGAGGTTCAATTCAATGTAATCAACGAATTAATATATGGAACGAAGAGAATATATGTGAATTTGCATGCATAGCGAAGTAGCCCATTTGTTGTTTTTCTTCAGTAGGGTTATTATTAAACGATGGTCCATTTGCTTCGTAATAATATTTATGATTTTTGCAGAAGGAAAAATACCACAAGACGAGTCACCTGTGCTACCGCCATTACCTTTAGTTCCGAAAATTGAAAAACGCAAACAAATTTACGGAACACCTCAACCGAAGAGACTTGATCTCAAAGACAGGGATTGGGATAGAGATTTTGCGCTTATGCCTCCACCTGGAAACCTTAAGAAAGAGTTTGCATCACCCGATCAACCCATTGATCCAAACGAACCTATTTACTGCGTCTGCCATCAGGTTATCATACTCCTTTAATTAATTAATTAATCCTTAATCCTCATTACTGGTTATTAAAAATCGTAATAGTTTCGTCGTAAGCTATTAAAAATTACTTTTTTATGCTGAAGTTATTTGGATCTTGCAGGTATCGTTTGGTGATATGATTGCCTGCGACAATGAAAATGTAAGTATTTGTTTCTCCTTCCTCACTTTTTTGCAGTATTTCGTGTTTTATTTAATTTTTCTATCGTACTTTGATGAATTTGTCTTTGCTTTTCGATTTTTTTTTTTGTTTGCTCGACAGTGCCAAGGAGGAGAATGGTTCCATTATGCATGTGTGGGCCTCTCTCAGGAAACGGGATTAAAAGGAAGGTGGTTTTGTCCAACCTGCAAGCCAGCCAATTAACACACTGATTACTTCGTGTTTATCAATCAATATACGAGTCTTGTATGTATAATACATTGATGCTGCAGAGGCAAGATGAACGAGTGAGTGCCGTTTATTTTTCCATCAGTCTATCGAAAGCTCTAGCTGTAAATGTCGGCATGAAAAAATATATATTAAGACTATTTTGAAGGTAGGATTTATCCTTCAAGATAAATCAGGAGAAAACGTCGTGGTTGTTTTTTTAATCGAAAGTCTGTCTAAATGTGTGTAGATTGCGATCGTATCTGAATTTACCAATTTACTTGGTTGACGTTGACGAATTGGGAGAAACTGCCGTATGTTCTCATAATTCGCAAGTTAAAGAGATACGCTGAATGCTTTCTCTCACTCGGTTTTTTCGATGTTGTATTTGGTGAATTATTCTGGGTAGGGAAACCCTTTGTGGGGGCTCTGCTCTGTTCAATGAAGAGCAAAGTAAATTTTAGGGTAAATCACAAAAACCCCCCTGAACTTAGGCTTAATTATGAAAAAAAACCCACCTATCTGTAATTACTAAAAGCCCCCGAAGGCAAAATACTACAATCATAACTAAAATATTTGATATCATAGAAATCCCAAGTAAATTTCTTTTATTCAAAAGTTCTAAAACCAAAATATTCATACTAAATTTTCCAAAGTCAACTTTAAATTTTGCTTAATTGATTTAATTACCTTTTAATGAATACTTTATCGGTTCTAAAATAATTGACGTTTTGGGCTGCACATATTAAGAAAATTAATAAATTTAAGTGGATTTTGGAGAAAAAAACATGTAATGCGACTAAAATACCCATGTCATCAATTCTATTTTCATTAATTATTTCTCTACTATTAAAAGTAATATGGGCATAATTGATAAAACAATAATTAATGCATTAATAAAAGTTTAAAGTGACAGATAACATAAAATAATTAAAACTTTCCAAAGTGATAGTTAATTTGTAACGGAGGGAGTCCAGTCTACAAGCTACAAAAGCATAATTAAATATTTTCTTCAAATGAAACTTATTTTAGTTAATTCGTGAATCAGTTCTATATATATTATCGATACTTTTGAAACAAACAAAAAAAAAATATGAAGAATTAATCTTGTACTTATAATACTAAAATATTTTATTAGAGTTATAAACATTTGCATGAAAGATATATAAACCAAGCTAAATTAGTTATGTGTGAAGAACTCGTTCTAAAAAATGTTGACAAAATTATTTGAATTCATGCGACAAATAACACTGCAATACATTACTCCACCAACTGGGTCACTCTTTATCCCTGCGTATTGAACACGTATCATGTATTTACTTTAAAGTTTAAAACTAAATTCGGAATTGTATTTTTTTTTAATTCTGAAGAAATTATTTCTGAGAAAACAAGGATGACCAATCAACATTGTGTTGGATTATAAGTTTTTCTTTCTATATTAAATTTCTTTGTTATCGGTTAGTTGATTGTTTTTGTTAGGATTTAGGAAGATAGGCGATACTTATTTTTCCCTTTCTATATTAAATTCCTCTTTATTGGTTTGTTGACTATTTTAGTCGGTTTAATTCCACCTTGCACCCTTGAAATATTCTATTTTGACATTTTGCATCTTCAAAACAAATTAATAACACTTTGCACTATAGAAAAATAATATATCATGAATAATGCATCCCAAATGAATATTTAAAGTTGATAAAGATAATTTAATATTTTTAGTGGTATTCTTTTAGGATGCTAAATGTCCAATCAATTTTTTTTATTCATAAAGCATTTTGAAACTATAAATGGCAAAAATATAAATACATTTCATCAACATATTTAAAAAAAAAACAATTTATCACAAAAAAACATTTTACGAAAAAAATCCTTCAGCTATTTCTTTATCAAGTTACCTGGAAATCATATTTTCTTCCAAATATTTCTACATAATATTTCCATTTTCCACCAATTACAAGAAAATATCCATCAATCGAATAAGTTAGTGTTAAAAAAATTTATTTTATTTTGTAAGAAAATATAGTTTTTTTATTAATAATTCGGTGTGATTTTTATTTATTCGCACTTTGTGCGCTCAAAATTAGATTGGAGGTTGAAAAAAGTAACATTTTAATTTGCTATTTTGAACCCCGGAAAAAAAAAACCCAATAAAAAAAATTAAATTCTCTTTATTATTCAATTTAGGGTGCATTGCGAATAATTTATCGTGTTTTGAGGGTGCGAAGTGCTATTATTATTTTCCAATGGTGCAAAGTGCCAAAATGCTCTATTTCGAGCGTGCAAAGTGGATTAAGCCATTTTGGTTTGAAATATGTGCAACTGTTGTGGCATGAGAAATAGAGGAATTAATGTAGGAAAATGATGATGTATTTTAATTTAAACGTAGAAAATACTGTTATCTCTTTTCATGTTGTATTCTTTCCCTTTTCTTTTTTCTTTTCTTAAAGAAAGGAATCCACATTCAAATGTGTGCTTTTTTAAATAACTTACAAATTACATGAGAGATATAAGTTGCACTGATAAAATAATCAAACAACACTTATTATTATCAATACAAAATATTTACCGTGATTGCGAAATATTTATATTTGCAAATTCATGGTAAAATTATTATGATAACTATCATATATTGACTACACTCTACCATAAAACAGGTCTACGAGATGCTATGCCTGATGAAAAATACCGAATAATTTTACACTATAATTCTATATTAATTACAGTTAGAATCTAATTGGATTCTAATAAACAAGGGATGAGTAAAGACTTGTGCAACAAGTCCTATGTACCGTGAAACACAAAAGGGAAGTCGCCTTGTTTACTTAAATTCTTTAATTTGTCATTAATTGTTTCTTTTATATAGGAAACTATTTTATTAATCAAAAAGAGTTTTTGTGCATCAAGAAGACTATCTAATAGTCCTTGTGCGTATAATTTTTCAAGAAGGAAAAGATTTCCTTAATTATCTTTTCTATTTTATTGTCATTAATTGGTTGTTTGTTTACATGGGAATTCTCATTAGATTAGGATGACAATATTTTAATAAGGCATGGACTCTTATTCCATATCTTTTAAAATAGATAATTCCTTCTACGTCTCTAACTTTGTGTAACCTAATACAGAAGCTTTCCCAGACTATAAAAGGAGGAGCATGAACGGAGTTTAGAGTGTCCTTTTTTTTTTTTATCGAGAGTAGTGTTCTGAGAAAATATATTTTTTCCTCTCGTTTTTATTGCTCCATCGTGATACGTGATTTTCATAGAAAATATACCGGCTTCAAGGCTTTGTGGTGAAGACACCAAGATTCAAGGAGTATCACAAGTTTGCTTCTTCTATATAAAAAGAAGATCGGTTCTTCGGGAGAGGGGCTTAAACAGATCTCGGGAGGAGATCGATCCGCCGACTGGGGATTCAGCGTTGAAGGGAGTTCAACCGTGCGGAGCAAGGGACGTGCTGCAAATTGAAGATTTATAATTCAGCGTAGTATACAAGAAAGCGTCAACAAAGAGGGAGTCTTTGTATTTTGATTAAGTCCTACTACTGTATTCGTAAAACTAAAAATTAGTAAATTTTATTTGCAGGTCCCCGTGGATGTAGGGTACAATTGTATCCGAACCACTTTAAATTTGTGTCTCGTTTATTTCTGTTTTTTACGAACTGCTTCACAAACTGTTGCAACACTTCACGCAACACTAACGAAAAACTGAATCTGACACAAATAATTTATATCTGCACGAAATAAATTCTAACAATTACAATCTATTACGCACACATACACACGAGTGCGTGTATTCTTATGTACAAGCAATTGCCGCCCTTATATCCAAACTATGTAATTACTAAAATCGTCCGAAGGGCAAAATACTAAAAGTCCTAACTAAAATATTGAGCTAATTGCATATAACCCCCTGTGTAATTTCGAATGAGCAAAAAGACCCGTGTGTTAAAAAAATTAGCAAAAACCTCCCTATATTTTGTTTTACAAAGTACACTGCCCCTTACATTTAAATTGGGTGTTGACTTACATGAAATGACGAAACCACCCCTAGTTAGAACAAACCAAATACCCCACACTAGAAAACAAAAAATCGGGAAAAAAAAAGGAAAGTTCGATTTTTTTTAACTTTGAGAGCGGCAATGGAGTTGAAGATGTCAGACCACCTCAAGAACAAAGAACAAAGGGAAGATAACTCTTGTTAGTTTTGACACAAATTTTCTGGTTGTTAAATTTCATTTGGCCTATTTGTATTGTGGGAAAAATAGGAAAAGAGAAAAAAAGGAAAAAAAAAAAAAAAGAAAAGAAGAACTGGTGGATCTGACGGAGGAGAAGATAACGAGGGAAGAGGCCATTGTTTAGAGTTAGGAGGCCGAAGAAGTTTATTGTGTCTGTTCAAGCTCCCTTCCACGTGCTCTAATGGTGGGTCTTACACACACACACTCACAAATACGGTCTGTAAATGCATTTCTTTTTTTGCTTGAATTGAATTTCAGCTTCCCTTTTGTTTGTTGATTCGTAATGGATTATTTGATGGTGGGGGAAACTATTGATGGCTGTAGGTGTGTGGTGGAGAAGAAAATTCTGGTTTTGGGGTGTGGTTTTGGGTTTATTGGGGAAGATGGCTTTTTAGAAATATTTGGGATTGAATTGAAAATTTTGAGAAATTCATTTTGGGCCTGATCAAAATTATGGGGTGAATTTATAATTTTTTAAATTTCTAATTTAAAGGGTATTTGAGTCTTTTCACGTCAAAAATAAACACCCATTCGCACATTTCGGGCGTGCTACACACGTTCGGCTGCAGGGGCTTTATAGATGCCGCAAATTTTTCGTTTTTTTTTATTTTGTGTGGGGGGGGGGGTATTTGCTAATTTTGTTAAAACAAGGTGTTTTTCTGCAATTCGAAATTACACAAGGGTGGTTTTTGCAAAACACCCCTAAAATATTTGGCATCCTAGAAATCCCAAGTAAATTTCTTTTATTCAAAAGTCCTAAAACCAATATATTCACACTAAATTTTCCAAAGTCAACTTTAAATTTAATTTTTTGCTTAATAGATTTAATTTCTCTTTATTGAATACAATCTACAATAGAATAATTAATATTTTTCTTCGGATGAAACTTGTCCTTGTTAATTTGCGAATCACTTGTATATATTATCCATACTTTAAAAAACAAAAAAATATGAGGAATTAATCTCGTACTTATAAGATTAAAATATTATATTAGAGTTATGAACATTTGCACACAAAAAAAGTAAACTACGC